ATTGCAAAAAAAAAAAAAAAAAAAAAATTATGAATATTGATATTACTCAAAAATAATGATACTCTGAAAAGAGAGTAGTAATAAATATTATCTCCAGATTTCACTTCTCTATTACTTCCCTCTTCAATCCTATCGGTGTTTATGATTTTCAGCAATAATGCATCTAAAATACTGAATATATGTAAAATACCAAAATAGTTATGTCTGAAATGATACAATGTCTGAGATTTTCTTCAAAAGTACACAGGGTGGGGAGTGTATGAGGGTAAGGATGGAGAAGGATTGGCCATGGGTTAACGGCTTGTTGGGATGGGGTGATGGGTATATGAAAGTTCATTATATTTTATTTTATAGTCAAATTTCTCCACAATAAATAGTTTTAAAAAAGAGTATCTTGTTCAGAAATATTCAAGCTTATGGTAAAGTGACACATTTGCTACCTCATTTGTAGTAATATAATTGAGGGCTTACAAGCAGGCAGCTGCTGTTGAAAGTGATAAACATGTATTAACTCATTGATCTTCATAAACTACCCTCGATGATAGATACTATTATCATCCCTATTTTATGGGTTAGAGAACGAAGGCATGGCAATTATTTAAAGTAATTGTCCCAAGTAATTTGCACACAGTAGTTAGAGGTCATGCTGGTGTTCAGCCCTGCCTGGTCTGCCTTCAGAGCTTTGCTTCAAACCTCCATGCACACCTCTTCTAGGGCCATTCACTAAATCGAGAAATCGACAAATGAAGGTTCATTCACAGGAGCATACAGACACAATTTTTTGTCTCACATGGGATCAGAACCCCAGGCCCCAGCTTGTGCTTGTCCACCTTGTAGCAGAAGACCAGCTTATACCTTCTCTGAGAGCCTTCAGTGCTGTGGTCACCCCACTTACAGAGCCCACTCCATGCTCAAGGCCCTTCCATTCCTGAGCAGATCATTCTCTTGGCCTCACTCTTAATGGCTACCTCCCTGTATATTTTGTTAATGGCCATTGGCTAAATATGGGTCTTGAGGCTAGACTTATGTGTCATTCATGAGAGGCAAAGGGAGTAAAGGGTAAAAATGCTATTTGGAGACAGTATGTTTCAGATTACATTCAGTTCAATGGCGGTTATTTCCCTGATCTTTCGCTTTCTCTTTCTTGTTATAGTCATTGGTCAAAAAGTCAACTTAGCTGCCAGGATGATGATGTACTTCCCAGGAATTGTGACCTGTGACTCTGTCACCTACAATGGCAGCAACCTACCAGCCTACTTTTTTAAAGAGCTTCCAAAGAAAGTTATGAAAGGTGTTGGAGATTCTGGACCATACTATCAGTGCTTGGGCCTTAATCAACAAACGTGAGTGTGGGGCATTAATTTTGGAAGTATATTTTAGTAAAGAAGAGGGAGAATTATGATAGCAAAGCATCAACGATTTAAGATTTGGAGCCAAGCAAGAAGTTGAAATCTATGTTTTCCCCAGACCAAGGCCCAGACTTCAAAATCCTTCATCTTTTCTCCATCCAACTGACACTATGGCATGGTGGAAGATCCCATTCTCTCTTCAGATCTGAGAATCTCAGGGTGACTCTTCAAATGTTGTACAAACCAAAGAATCCTCCCATTTGAGTATCTATTTACACCCAATGGACCCAATCATCAACCATTAAATATTTACTAATGATGCCAACCATATGCCCAGGCATTGTTGGGGTTAGAAGAGTATAAGATATTATATCTCCTCTAAGTCTTTAGTGAAATACGTTCCCCAAAAGCTCAGCATAGATTTGTGGGTGTCACTTTGAAGCTTAAAATCCTTCAGTGGCTTCTCATTTTCATGGTGATGATCAAATTCTTTGCAGTGATATACAAGGTACCACCTGCCTTTCCAACCTCATCTCCTCCTGTGCCCCATCCTCTGGGATGTTTAAGTAGATTGTCCTCATCAGCACCTACCCATCCCTGGTCTACTGGGAAAATCACAGTCAATTTTTGAAGCCCAGCTCAAGGGTTTCATAGACATTCTTTTATGAATTCCCCATCCCAACTAGACAGTTAAGCTCTTTCCTCCTTTGTCATCCTTCTTCATCTTCCTTTTTGCCTCTGACAGCGTATGCCTCTAGTAGAGCACTCCTCACCCTATATCACAATTATTCACTTGATATACTTTTCACTTGTTACACTGTGAACTCTGAAGATACTAATTATTTCTTTATTCTAATATCCCCAGTGGTTGGTACACAGTAGGTCCTCAATAATGATGAACAAATAAATAGCACGGAAAGCAGAAAGTTGTTATTCTTTATATTAGCAAGCTAGAATCGAGGTCTTCAAGGCTCAGATAACAGAATCAGGGCTGCAGATGGGTCAAGGTGTCTTTATTATTCACTTCAGTATTCCTGAGGCTTAGCACTGTGCTTGGCATACATAGGCCATCAATAAAGTGCAGGTTGAATAAATGAATAATATTTTTAGTATTTATTAAACATCAGTTACTTTATCTCAAAATGTATAATTTAGTCATTTTTTTTTTAGACAGACTCTTGCTCTGTCACCAGCTGGAGTGCAGTGGTGTGTTCTTGGCTCACTGCAACCTCTGCCTCCTGGGTTCAAGGGATTCTCCTGCCTCAACCTGCTGAGTAGCTGGGACTACAGGCACGCACCACCACACCCAGCTAATTTTTGTATTTTTGGTAGAGGTGGGGTTTCACCATGTTGGCCAGGAGATGGTCTGGATCTCCTGACCTTGTGATCTGCCCGCCTCGGCCTCCCAAAGTGCTAGGGATATAGGCATGAGCCACAGCGCCCAGCCAATTTATTCTTAATATTGACCATATGAGATATAAACTATTAAAAGTTCCATTTTATAAATTTGAAAACTGAGGCTCAGAGATGTTAAAGGACTTGTCTACGGCCATTACTGAGCAATGGAGCCAAGATTCAGTCACAATAATGTGGCCTTACAGGCAATCACAAAGCCTCTGTGGTGTGTAAAAATAAACACTTATTTTTCTCACAAATGTGGGGTTCAATTGTTCTCAGCTGGATTTGGTTGATCTTGTCTTGCCTTATTCACATGCCTGGGGTTCAACAGCCTGTTGGCCAACCTAGGATGGCCTCAGTTTGGGTAACTGGGGCAATTTGGCTCTATGTGTCTCATCTTCCACCCGGCATGTTTGTCCTGGCAATATTGAAGGAGCAAGAGAACAGGTCCAATGCTAAAGCATTTTTCAAGCCTCTTCCTATGTCTATGTTTGCAGATATTCCATTGACAAAAGCATCCACAAGACTGAGTCCAGAATGAGAGGACTCTGCCAAGTTACATAGCAAGGGGCATAGATACAGGCACTGGGGCCATTAATGCAATCGGTTTACTATGCAAACCCAGGACTACATGATCCCAAAGCCTGCACTCTTCAAGATTTTTTTTTGGTAACATCTCTGTAGATAAAAGAGTGTAGAAATACACATACAGATATGAATAGGGCCTAGTTCCTGCCCTGAAAATCCACAATCAAGTAGGGAAGACCAACATACAAAAAGTTAGCTGTACATTACATGGGAACCTTTGATATATGCTATAAAAGAGGCATGACAAAGTAGTATTGTGGTTCAAAGAAGGGCATAATGCATTTTGACTAAAGCGCTTCTTCGAGAGATAGTACTATGGAGTGAGCAAACATCTGCAGCCTGGCCTACGTTTGGATACTGTCAGTATCCTGTGTTACCACCTGCTATGGGAACTTGGCAGTTAAACTCCTTGTACCTGAATTTCCTCACTGGTAAAATGAACTTAATAATAGTACTTCTTTGTTGGTTTGAGATGGAGCTTTGCTCTTGTTTCCCATGCTAGAGTGCAATGGTGTGATCTCGGCTCACTGCAACCTCCGCCTCCTGGGTGCAAGTGATTCTCCTGCCTCAGCCTCCAGAGTAGCTGGGATTACAGGTGAATACCATCACACCAGCTAATTTTTGTATTTTTAGTAGAAATGGGGTTTCACCATGTTGGTCAGGCTAGTGTCGAATTCCCGACCGCAGATGATACACCCGCCTCAACCTCCCAAAATGCTGGGATTATAAGCATGAGGCCTTGTGCCCAGCCAGTAGTACTTTTTAACAGTGTTTTTGTCAGGATTTAAAAAATGATGCATACAAAAAGCACTTTGCGCCAGACACATAGCATGTGCTCAAAAAAGGTACCTTATTATTGTTTGAGCAATTGGTGGAATCTTTGCAGGATGTATGATTCTGCCCCACATTAAAGTCTACTAGGTCATATATCAGGTGTCTGATCTCCCCAGAAAGGGGTTTCCTCTACCACTGCAGAATCAACAAGCATTTACTGAACAATATGCCAGGTACTATGGTAAAGAGATGCTATCTGAGTTCTTTGGAATTCAAGTAAGACTTTCTCCTCCTTTCTCCTTCTTTTGGTGTTTGCAACTCTTGAGTCAGGGGATAGACTCTTGTTAGTGGTTGAGAAGGAAACTTTCTGGGAACTAAGAACTAGTCACTCTTACTCTAATATTTCCCTGTTTTGAATCTAACATCTATTCATTTTTCTTCTCTTCAGCATGGTTGGTGTGTCGTACGTCATCTGCGACAGAAATGAGGGCTGCCCTTTGCTGGGTAGGTAGTAGGCCTTGATTTTAAACTTCTTTATTGAACTATAACAAAACATGCAGAAAAGTACATCAATGATAAGTGTGTGCTTAATGAATTATCACAAAATGAAAATATAATCATCATCCAGGGTAGGAAATAGAAAAATAGCAATACACCAGGATTGCTCTTTCCTACTTCCTTTCCCCAAGACTTCTAACATCCTTGATTACTTATGCCTGTTTAAAAAATTGATACAGATGGAATCATACATTGTATAATTATATATGCCTTATATCTACTTTCTCTTACTCAATGGTATGTTGTATAATTCATCCATATTGTTGGGTGTAGCTATAATTCATTCTCTGTAATTACTATGTAGTATTCCACGTTTATACATATACAACAATTTGCCCATTCTGTTGCTGTACAATATTTGGGTTATTTTTAGCTTTTGGTTCTTATGAATAATAAGAATTCTTCATCAGCATTCTTACACTAGTCTTTTGGTGAACACATGTATGCATTTCTGTTGAGTACAATGTAGGAGTGAAATTGTTGGGACAAAGGGTGCAATTTTGGTAGATGATGACAAATGGTTTTCCAAAGTGGTTGTATTTATGTATATGCTGACCAAGAATGTTAAGAGAGTTCCACTTGTTCTTCATCTTTGTCAATAGCTTAGTTTTATCAGTCTTAATCCTTTCAATAATTCTGTTGGGTATATAATGGTATCTTATTGTGGTTTCCATTTATATTTCCCTAATGTGATTGAGCTCCTTTTTCATAAGTTTATTGGCCATTTGGATTTATTTATTTATTTATTTTGAGGCAGAGTCTCGCCCAGGCTGGAGTGCAGTGGCGTGATCTCATCTCACTGAAACCTCCACCTCCTGGGTTCAAGCGATTCTCGTGCCTCAGCCTCCTGAGTAGCTGGGATTACAGGCACCCACCACCATGCCCAGCTAATTTTTGTATTTTTAGTGGAGATAGGGTTTCACCATGTTGGCATGTCTTGAATTCCTGACTTCAAGTGATCTGCCCTCCCTGGCCTCCCAAAGTGTTGGGATTACAGGCATGAGCCACTGCCCCAGCCCAAACCTTTTTTTTTAAAGTATCTGTACAATTTTTCACCAATTTTTCAACTGGGTTGTATTTTGATTATCTTTTGGAATTATTCACACATCCTAGAAATGGGTCTTTTGACATTTGTTTGTACTGTGTATCACTTTTCCAACTCTGTGCTTGCCTTTTTACTCTCTCAGTTACGCATTTAATAAACAGAGCTCTTAATTTTAATGTAATCAAATTTACCTGTCTTTTATAGTTAGTGCTTCTGTCTACTATCTGAGATATCTTCCTCACCCAAAAGTCATGAAGATATTTTTCTACCATTTTTTTCAGAAATGTTGTTTTTACCTTTTATATTTAAGTCTACAATCAATTTGGAAGTGATATTTTTGTGATTCCTGGTGATAGGGATCTTACTGTAAAAGAGATAGCTTGAGATTAGACAGGGAAGTTGACCTAAAATGAGGTAGGGATATACCTATGAGAGAAGAGACCCAACGAAGATTGGCCTGTGGATTCCAAAGGGACCCACTTCTAGCAGCACGTGTAATTTCCTTCTGTCAGACACGAACATCCTTGAAAGTCTTATCATAAGTTAAATCTTGGTCCGCACTGTGATAGGGCAATTAAGAGGAGGCTCTGTCTCACACTTTAGAAAAATATCAGGCCACAGTCTTGGTGTCAGCAGAGCCTAAAGGAGGGCAACAGTTCCAGACTGCAAAAAATGCTTGGGCCAGCAGAAATGCCCAATTTTCACTTCAGGTCCTTTTCAGAATCTTCAAACCAATCACTTCATTTAAGTCCAGATCCCCAAACTCCTGAAGCTACAAAGGAGAAGGAATACCCACTCTCACCCTCCTTTGAGGCCTTACTTTTCATCCTGGGATATGCTTATTTTAATAATTGACAGCAATGGAATCCTAACCTTCTTTCTACAAGATTGCAGACCCAATACGACAGTCACATCAGAATACGTTATGTGTATATTTCTTTTTTTTTTTTTTTTTTTTTTTTTTTTTTTTNTTTTTGAGACAGAGTCTTGCTCTGTCCCCCAGGCTGGAGTGCAGTGGTGCAATCTTGGCTTACTGCAACCTCCACCTCCCAGGTTCAAGCTATTCTTTTGCCTCAGCCTCCCAAGTAGCTGGGACTACAGATGTGTGTCACCACACCCAGCTAATTTTTGTATTCTTAGTAGAGGTAGGGTTTCACCATGTTGGTCAGGCTGGTCTTGAACTCCTGACCTCAGGTGATCCAGCCAACTCGGCCTCCCAAAGTGTTGGGATTACAGATTTGAGCCACTGAGCCCAGCCTATGCATCTATTTCTCAGTCTGATCCAATTGCCTTTTTGCCCTGATTCCACCAGTATGACATAAAGAACAGGCCCACATACCTTTCCTTGAAGTTATAACCAAACACAGATTGTCAGAGGCTAGCAGCGTGGGAAATGCCCTTCTTTCACAACAGCTGCTATAAATGAAATTGCAACAACATGGTTGACAACAAAACTATAATAAACAAATTGTGTTATATTATGCTCCTTATGTTCCTTAGAAAAAAGTTCTATTTTAATAATTAGGCCCACAAACTGGGTGTAATTTAATAGAATATAATTATATTCATTTGTAATCTAATGAACAGAGAAAAGAATTTTATGTTAATAATGTATTTAAATAGTCATTAAAAATAGTAACACAACAAACTATACATCTATAAATTCTAAGGATATTTTGATAGCATCCCTGAAGTGGCTTCTGTCAAACAAAAAATAAATCTAGGATGCTCCCCGGAGAGAATGGAGCTGCTTCTGAAAAGTTGAATAAAGTGGAAAAAGCATGCTAGGAAGTAAACAATGTAGGCAAGGTAGGTAGGGATGATCAAGGAATGAAAAATTCGCTAAACCAAAACACTCATTCATGATCTGCCTAAATAGAAGTAAGGGTCAGTTCAACAGTAAAAAGTCTTACTGGTAAGAAAGAAAGTATGGTAATACAAACAATGTTTAAGAAAGTAAGATAAAAGTTAAAAAAGAAAAAAAAAGTACAAACCTATTTCACTGGCTTCTCTAGCCCGGGTAACACTTAGTGGCCCTCCTCACCCAATCTAGTTTTAATTTATTACTCAGTCACTTCAACTCTGTTCTTACAAAACACCCTAGATCCTGTCAGCCCCTTCACTCTGTCACATCCACCCACCAAGGCTTACCCTAGTTGAGAGTGAGCTTAGGAAATCCAATGGATCTACAATCAAAGCCATTAGGCCTTGGGCACCTGACTTCATTACTCCAAGCCCTTTTCCTCACTGGTAAAGTAAGAATTACATCACTTACCTGACATATACATAGATGGAGTGCTTGGACATAATCTACACTAATAATCTCCTATCTACTGTTATTCTCCAATAAACTTCACTACTTGCCATTCCTAAATTAATTAATTAATTGTGGCTTTTTAGGGTAAAAAAATGCATACAACAGTCCCCGATATTGACACTTTGCTTAGATAGAAACAAGGCGCATGCATTTCAAGTTAAAGAGACAACCTTATTTTAGAATCCAGCTAAAGGTAATTCATAAGGTCCTACCTGTAGGTATAGGACTATGCAGCCTTTTAAGCCTCATCTTATGAGTTCCTATGTGAGCTTCAGGCCAAAGAAAAAACATCTCACAAAATTGAAGTTCAAATGCATTTTCAGAAAGGGAATATTTCACTCAAAAGAAGCAATACAATCTGCTAAGTAGTTCTCACTAAGCCATACTCAGAAATTTATATTACCAAGCAAAGCACTTAGCTTCTTTTTATTAAACACTACACTTGTATTAATGGTCCTTCAACAAAGACGTTAGATAATACCTGGATATTATCAGAGCAAAGAAGGAATAGTTGGCTCTAAATGAGTCTCCAACTTTGTTGACAAAAATTGCTCACTGCTTAGAAATTACAATTCTTCCAGCTCCTTCCTGTCCACCCAGATTTCAAAGACTGTGAGCTGTTTCAGATTTTAGCCTGGGCATCCTGTTACAGTATTTAAAAACACACAAGAAAAACAAGGGTTGTAACCCAAAGTGATTTTTTTTCTTTTTCTTTTCCAAGTTTTCCATATTTTCTACAGTAAGCATATATTAGTTTTATAATCAGAAAAAATCTATAATTTATTTTCATTAAGAATTTAAGTTGCTTTTATGATAGAAATAATCTATACATGATTTCTGAAAGCAAATTGAATTTTATTCCTGGCAAGGCTTTTTGCAGCCCTGAATTAGTGTAATTTTCATTTATAGAGGGCAAGTTTTCTTTACTACAGAATCAGAAGTAAAATTATTTTATCCATAATTGTTTAATGTAGAAAACCTAACTTTGATAAATTTATTTCCTAATGTAATAGTCTACAGATTACTTCTAGTGTGTTATTTTAAAAAACAAGCTTTAGAGTTAGATAGCCTTGGCTTACTTCCTGGTTGTGTAATCTAAGCAAATCTGAGTTTTCTACACTATAATTAAACGTTATAATGAGCATTATAAGAATACTTTCCCTCACAGCCTCTAATCAAATAACACTGCAAAACCACATGGTTAGCTAAAAAGCTCCCGGGAAGATTTAAAACATTTTGAAAGTTCATAGGGCTTCAAGAAAGTCTGAACAATGCCATGGAAATTTCAAGGATTTTTTTTTTTTTTTTTTTTTTAAGACAGAGTTTCGCTCTTGTTGCCCAGGCTGGAGTGCAATGGTGTGATCCCGGCTCACTGCAACCTCTGCCTCCTGGGTTCACGCAATTTTCCAGCCTCAGCCTCCCAAGTAGCTGGGACTACAGGCACCCGCCACCACGTCATTTTTTGTGTGTGTTTTTAGTAGAGACAGGGTTTCACCATGTTGGTCAGGCTGGTCTCAAACTTCTGACCGCAGATGATCCACCCACCTCAGCCTCCCAAAGTGCTGGGATTACAGGCAGGAGCCACCGTGCCCTGCCCAAGGATATTTTTAGAAGTGTTTCTATGTGTTTTTTAAAATATCTCTAGACTATTTTATGTTGATGAGTTTGCTCTTTTTTAACACTAAAAATTACAGGACGTGATAAAGAGATCAAATACTTCATTGATACTATGAATGAATTTTTGAAGTCTAACAGCAGCCGAGTCTTAATATATGAGGCATTAATGGGATACGGAAAAAGCAAGATACTTATGGAAATTGGGTTCCTGGCCCATGGTGAGAACCACAGGTAAGTGTCTTGGAATAATCATTCTGTGTGAGCTCAGAATCCCGATTTATTTGGATGTTCCTTTCCTTCCTATAATTTGCCTTATGTAAATTATCCATAATCTACAATTATTGGGTGCCATGACCCTTGTGCTAACTAGGTAACTAACAATAAACATATAGAACTAAGAAAAAGAGAAACTAGGTTGGCCCATGGATATCCTGATTTAATGCCAGGTAGGGCTTGGTTAGTCAAAGGTTTTTAAGTAATCCCAATAGTCAGACAGATACAGAAACACTGGCATAGATGTTGAGATCAAGGCTAGATTTGGTCTGCAGAACAAATACATAAGTTTAGCTAGCTAGCTGACAGGGAATCACTAGTTCAAACTATTTAGTCCTGAGACTTGGGGAAAGAGAATGACAGGTCTTTGGATTTTTCCCTGGAAGATAGAGCTAATATACTTGACTCATGTTTATTTATTTTCATATAAGGAATATTATGAGGGCTATCTTTGGGATAATCTGTTCTACTTCCTCATGGAAATAGATAATACAGTATTAAATAACAGTAGTGATGACCAGGACAATAAGGATGATGTCTCAAATCTTTTCCCCATCTAACCTAAACAGTATAAGGGGAAAATGCTTGTTAATCTATATTATTTTTAGTTGTATCTCTATATCTCTATCCCATATTAAAGTCAGGCCTGAGAAAGGCCAGTTTTAAAACATCTTTACCATAGCTGAGGGGATAATTTGCAACAGTCAGAAAGCATTTATTTATGTATCCAATCATTTATTGAATTCCTACTATGTTCAGAAACTACTAAGTGCTGTATTCATTAGCCAGGGCTGCTGTAAAAAAGTACTACAAATGGGTGGCTTACAATAGAAATTTGTCTCATAGTTCTCAGAGGTAGGAGTCTGAGACCAAGGCATTTTTTTTTCTTCTCTGGACCATGAGGAAGAATCTGTTTCATGCCCGTCTGCTAGCTTCTGGTGGTTGCTGGCAATCTTTGATGTTCCAAAGATGGCTTGTAGAAGCATCACCCTGATCTCTGCCTTCATTTCACATGGCATTCTCCCTGTGTGTCATTTGTGTCCAAACTTCTCCTTTTTCTAAGGGCATCAGTCATATTGGATTAGAGGTCCACCCACTCCAGCATGGTTTCACCTTAACTAATTATATCTGCAACTAACCTGTTTTCAAATAAAGTCACACTTTGAGGTCCTAGAGGCTAAGAATGTAACATATGAATTTTGTGGGGACATGTGTCAACCCATAACAAGTGCCAAAGCCCTGAATATGAATAAAGTCGATCTCTGCTCTTAAGGAGCTCTCACAGAAGAGGAGGAGAGATAATGTGTTAGTCCATTTTCACACTGCTAAAAAGAACTACCTGAGACTGGGTAATTTATAAAGAAAAGAGGTTTAATTGACTCACAGTTCCACATGGCTGGGGAGGCATCAGGAAAATTGCAATGATGACAGAAGGCAAAGGAGAAGCAAGGGGTGTCTTACGTGGCGGCATGAGAGAGCGAGCAAAGGAGGAAGTGCCGAACTTTTAAACCATCAGATCTCATGAGAACTCCCTCAATATCATGAGAACAGCATGGGGGAACTGCCCTCCTGATCCAATCACCCCAATAACCTCCCAGCAGGTCTCTCCCCTAACAGTTGGGAATTACAATTTGAGATGAGATTTGGGTGAGGACACAGAGCCAAACCATATCAGATAACAACAGAAGTAGAATGTAGTGAGGGCAATGATAGAGACATGCCATAGAGAATTGTGGAAGTTCAGAGAAGAAAGGGTATGTAGCCAACCATGGGGAATCAATGACAGTTTTCAGGAGGCTACACCTGAGCTGAAACTTACAGATGAACATCAGCTGAGGGGCAGTAAGAAGTGATGGCACTCTGGGCTGAGGAGACAGTGTAAGCAAAGGCATGGAGAGGTGAAACAGCTCTGAGCGTGCAGGGAACTCTCACTGTGTGTTGTTGGTGAAGGGTAAATTGCTAGGCAGAGAGTGGCAAGAAAGGACAGAATGAGGCTTTGGAAAGTCTTATGTGTCAGATAAAGGAGGCCTGGGTTCATGTCTTTAGGCAATGGGAACTCCCAGTCTGAGGGTCATGATCCTGGATGGGGGTAGTGGCTTGCTATTGTGGTAGTACAGGGTGGCAGTAGGACTAGAAAGGAGAGAATTAGCTAGGTTAAATTAATCAGGGCTTAGGAACAGGAGAATGAGGGAGTATTTCAGAAGCAGCAATAAAGAACCATTGCCAGATAGCTTGGAAAATCTCCATCATTACAGCTGAATATGAGAAGACAGAGCTTTCCTTCAATCTTTATTATTTTCAAAAATATATATTTAAAAACTCTCTTCTGATTCTTGATTTTCTCACAAACAGAATTATTGCCATTGAATTGACTAAGATCAGCTTCCATCAGAATTTGCATACCATCCAGATGCTCATAGCCAGTGTCCTAGGCCTGGACACTTGTAAACATTATAAAGAACGGCAGACCAACCTTCGAAATAATGTCATGACACTGTTGGATGAAAAGTTCTACTGTCTTCTTAATGACGTTTTCCTTGTTCAGGTAACTAGCTAGTATTATACTTCTGCACAAATAGCCGTGGGCAGGCACAGCAACTCCTCCCTGGTGCTTTGTGACTTAGCATCTCTTTGGTCTATATATCTGGAGTATTCAGATGGTGAGTAAGTGGAATCCTCTTTGGATGTGCATCCACATTCTTGACATATTAGAGGTATCTAGAAATACCATGCTCAAGAAAATCCAAATGGCCATTTGCTGACTCATTTTTTTCTTACCCTTCTATCATAGCTATCCTATACTAGCTACTCTGGGGCACAAAGTCACTCTGTTCCTACAAGTGATGTTAGTGCAGACTGTGCCCTGTTTTTTCCTGAATTATCTAACACAGGGGGGTCCCCAACCCCTGGTACCAGATCATGGCCTGTTAGAAACCAGACCACACAGCAGGAGGTAAGCAGTGGGTGAGCAAGTGAAGCTTCATCTCTATTTATAGCTGCTCCTCACTGCTTGCATTGCCACCTAAGCTTCTCCACTTGTCCATCAGCAACAGCATTAGATTCTTGTAGGAGCATGAACCCTACTGTGAACTACACATGCAAGAGATATAGACTGTGTGCTCCTTATGAGAATCTAATGCCTGATGATCTGTCACTGAATCCCATCACCCCCAGATGGGACCATCCAGTTGCAAGGAAACAAACTCAGGGCTTCCACAGATTCTATCTACATTATGGTGAGTTGTATAATTATTTCGTTATATATTACAATGCAATAATAGAAGTAAAGTGCACAATAAATGTAATGCAACTGAATCATCCCAAAATCATCCCCCTTGCCCCAGTTCATGGAAAAATTATCTTCCACAAAACTGGTCCCTGGTACCAAAAAGGTTAGAACCACTTATCTAACACATGAGGACTTTAAGACACAGACCAGTTAAGTGTTTTGCCCAAAGTTGCACAGCCAATAGTTTCCTTTGCTATTTTCCCATACTCAATATTCTCATAATTCTTTGCATAGTTCCCTATTTCTCGGGAGATTTCCAGGATGAGCACCTTGAAAAAGCAAAAGCAGTTGGAAGTATTGTTTATGAAGATCTTGGAGCAGGTAAGAGCATCTGTGGGCCAAGAAGTTGCGGGAACAAAACTGGGCAAATCACCACAAAGCCAGGTGGTTTGAGGGGTTCAGACCACATTGGCAAGAGGCTTCTGAAGTATGTGAAGGCTTTATCTTAAAGTGCTTCATTGTCCTCCATCCTCCCAAACCTCAAGCTAAAGGTCTGTTTAGAATTTAGATGCCCTGAAAATAGTTATTTAACATTACTCCTAGGAGTCTGACTTCTCTCAGCACTCTTTTTTTTCATCCTTTGCCGAGATGTAATGTACCGAAGTGGTTACATATGCATGCTCTGTAGTCAGACTACTGACTACAGAGGGTTTGAAACCCTAGGCCTATCACTTGCTACCTGAACAACCTTGAGCAGTGACTTACCCTCTCTATGTTTCTGTTTTATCATCTATCAAATGAAAGAAAATAATAGTACATAGCTCACAGGGATGTAAGGTTTAAATGACTAAATTATATGTAGAAACACTTAAAATAGTGCCTCTTTGATGAGAAACACTCAGCCAGTGTTAACTCTCTCTCTCTCTCTCTCTCCCAGTAATCTCAGGACTGTCTACTCTACGTTGATCACCAAATTTATATTTCGGTCTCCACCCCTCTTATAAACACCAGAACCATATCCCCAAGAATCTTCTATATATTCCCCTTGGATGTAGTGACTCATGCTGAGTTGAGCGTCTAATGCCAAATTCATATTTTTACCATAATGCCCTTTCTTCCTTATCCTGATCCTTGATTTCATTAGTAGCAAATTGTGCCATCCTGCATCACTTAAAGTTATCCTTGCCTTCTTTTTCACCCACACTCCCATATTTACTCACTGCCAAGTCCTCCTATTTTTACTTGAGACAGTCTCTGGAATCTCCTTGTCCTCTCTTCCTATTGCCATATTTCAGGCTCTTATCATCTTTTCCTGGACTATTTCCATAGATTTCCAAATAATCTCTGTGCTTCATACCTCTCCACTCCAATTCATCCTTCATATAATTATCAGAGTACATGCAAATCACACCAACCCATACTTTATACTCTCCAAGTAAGTCCCAGTGGTAATAAGATAAAAGCCAAAAGATTTCCTTTTAGCCTAGAGAAATGCCACTCATCCTTCAAGGTCACCTCTTTGGTGAGAACTTCCCCAGATCACTAGGCATGACTAATTCTTTTTCCACCAGGCTTCCATAAGGCTTTGAATACATTTCCAGATATACTTATACACTTGATACTATTATGGTATGTTGTCCTTCATTACTTGTATATCTGTTTGTCTCTCCCTCAGGAAATT